TTGGATAGACTAAGGTGGGGATAAGAGTAGGATGATCGAGGCTCGAGTGTATACACTCACTCTATGGTGGGGTATCCTCAAGAGCTTCATCGTTGGAAATGCCTGATTGATACCAACAGCTAGGGCACAGTCTAATCCTGATATTGTGGCTGTTGCCTCGAACCTGTCTCCATACCATTATTCACGAGGTATCATATCCCATACTCTTACCAGATGAGCTGAGATCGAGTTATATAGTAATTGATGATTCTACACACCAGGGCGAATAGACCCGAGGCGACTGAGAAGGAAACACTTGAGGCCATGATGCAATGATGATGCATGGGTATCATTACAGGCTGTTATTAGAATGAACATCACCAAGGCCTTAGAGCCCCATAGTGGTTCTAATAGGCTAACCAACCACAATGCCAAGGGATAATGGAATATGAATCGTATTATGCTTGGGTCATAGAGTGAGCTCTGACATCATACGATACACTACTGTAACGGAGGTCATCGCCCTATCACCGTTATCAAGTTCCAACATCTAGGTATTGGCAGCATAGCACCTTCAATCGGGAATACTGTCCTTGCTGGGACTAACCCTAGAAACTCTCCAATGCCACTAGGCCATATCCAACTTAAGAATGATAAACACGGCACTACTCCAAGGAGTAGGATACGAGAGAGGCTATGGCTGCTGGTGATATGCTCATGGTGTGGTATGGACTGTGGTAACGAGTCGGGACTCATCGCTCAATTAGAAGGCTAAGGGTTCATCTATATGGTCCAAGTAACGTTATAGAAAGGTAACACTTGAAGAGTATAAGAAACGATAAGGACAACATCATCATCAGCAGCAATAGTGTGATGGTGTTTATATATAATTATTACGGATGGCGAAGTCAACGACCGTGAAGACAGCTAAAACAGGAACAATATGTATTATGATGGTGATGATATTCCCTTTTTATTACCTGCTGATGCTACACTGTATTTGGCTACTGCTATCCAACTACCACTAGTGGCTTTGAATAGTGCTCCACTAAGAGCCCCAGCCCCAAGAGCATTGAATTGGTCATCTTTTCCACCACGAGCCCATGATACCAACCCATTGAATGCCACATAATACATTGCTGAGAATAGGGTATACAATAGTAGTAGTAGGCATGAGTATTACTTATGATAGCAGCTTGATTAGCCAAAGCCGGCCCTTGAGTGGACATAGCGTTCATTACTGCATTAACTCGTAGCTTAGAAGTGGCCCCACCCTTCTGTAGTCCTTTTAATACACCAAATGTACCACCAACCAACATACCTGATCATTATCATCATCATGATGATACTACTACTACACGATGGTCGCTATACCCTTACCACTGCCGTAGGATAACCCCACAGAATAGGTCATCTTATCTCCGAATTGTCTACCATAACCTTGGAGATATAGATTATCGGGTACTGACTTATGATTGATAGCCGACTAAGAAGGACATGAGTGATGTGAACAGCGGGTTAGGTAGGCCTATAAACCGTCATTACCTGTCGCTTGGCTTCATTCAATATACCAACAGACTGGACCCCTCCTGTGTTTAAATAATCGTCATGGTCACCTTTGAAGTTGGTGGTGGACATGTGATGGAAAAGTATCAATCCTGTAGGGCTGATATACATCAAACAGGGCGGCACTCCTCCTCATAAGGTCGAATCCCACCAGAAGCAGCCGGTGATTAGTATGATGAACAACAACAGGAAGGACCGTCCCCACACACTGCTACCACCAGATGGGATAGTCAGGGACGCCGAACTATGGCATGTATGATTCGATATTCATTACAAGAACTCTCGCGAAGGCTTCGAGAGCATCTTACTCGTTATGAAGAAGACTCGAAACAAGTGCCTCATATTATCAGAGTATGGCTGAGACCCCAATGGTGCCACATGGAGACGAGGCCAATAATAATAATGAACAACTACCCCTCATGTGGGACAGCCTGTATCTACTAGCCTTGGCGATAACATCAAGAGACCCTTATCATCCACAATGGAGCCAGATGCAGCAGACTGCTGCTGCCAGCAGCAGCACCATCAGCAAACTACGTGATGATGAATACATGTTACTACTACTACGGCTTCTCAGGAGTAGCTCCTGCTCAGCATTCATAGTTCAATGTGCACCTATTCTACTATAACGGATTTAACCATGGATAATATACCACGCTGGAGTAGGTCGGTGACTTCCAACGCAACACTAGAATATAATGTACCCCAACGGTCGTCGGCACCGCCGACTGCTACTACTAATACTAATTTCCCTCACGCAGTGGCTTCCTCCTCTCCTTCCTCAACGGCGGCCTTAGTCGTATTACCACCTGCTGCTGCTGTTGCTTCATCGGAAGCCTCATAAGCTGTAGTAGCATCTGATAGATGTTGTAGAGGTGTCTTATCGTATAGTTCTCACCTGGTTCGGCATTAGTCTCAGGAGTGGTATGCTCCTCCTCCTCCTTCTCCTCCCTACCCCTCTCAAAATACTTTTCTAGATCCTCATCATACTTCTTAGCCAGAGCATCCTCCCCCTTATAGCGTAATAAGGCCTCATCCTGATCATCATTTCTTAGTTTCTATCAAGGACTTAGTATTATTACAAGTTGCTCAGCAGTAACATGCTCTTTCCTTCCCTTACCCCCTCCTTTACCCCTGAGGTATGATCCTATATCGATGGTACACCCCTGTTATTACCCCTTCCTCCCAGAATTCTTCCAACCAGAGCGTCTAGTCATAGAGTCCCCTCCTCGTCCTCCTTTACCCTTCCCTCCTTTACTACCACTTCGACGTTGATTATATTGGACCATGGGAAACAACAACGAAGAGTACTGTGAAGAGTATATGGCCTCAGCCTAATACCACTCCTTCCCTACTTCATCACCGTAGTGATAGTGCCTATCACCAGTTTTTTACTCAGTTGTAATGCAAGCTGTAGGGGATAACTACGTCCAGGGATTCCAGCCGCGCACACGGTACAATTCTTCGAAATACTCGCAATAAATATCGCTTCGCTCCGCTTTATCAAAATCTCGCTACGCAAAGTTGATCGATAAGGGCTGTATTGGCTACCGCAAATCTGCTCTCAGCGCCGTAGGTTGGCAGTTCCGCAGTCACAATGGTCAAGACGGATCCTTCTATCAGCATGAAGGTAGTAACCTCTGGGGGTGTCGAAGGGTTAACCCCATGGCTCAGGGGATATGTAGCGTATCGGGTGTAGTTGAGTCCCATGTTATTATCTTAGATGCACCTGTACCAACTTGTTGGTCGGGCTGCTCCTTCCGTTAAGAACCCCAAGCCTAAGATCTTCCGTATGAAGATGTTTGCTCGTAACTCTGTTGTTGCCAAGTCCAAGTTCTGGTAGTATCCCTACCCTAATATCTACATATACTCCTCCTTTTTAGGTATTATATGAAGCGTATTACCAAGGCTAAGTTGACAGGAGGTGAGATGCTTGGTATCACTGAGTGCTTTGAGAAGCATCCTACTACCGTTAACAACTACGGTATCTGGCTTCGTTATGACTCTCGTTCTGGCACTCATAACATGTAATGCTGAGGGATGTTGTCGTATTCATTATCAAGTTGTTATTATCATTGTGTATCAGGTATAAGGAGTACCGTGATACCACTCTTACTGGTGCCGTTGGTCAGATGTATCAGGAGATGGCTGGTCGTCATCGTGCTCTTGCTTCTAATGTGCAGATCATTAAGACTGCTACTTTGAAGAATGATGAGTGCCGTCGCTCCCACATCACTCAGTATCACTCTGGTGCTAAGTTCCCTCTACCTCGTCGTATCCCTCGTACTTCCCTTAAGTATAAGAAGACCTTCCGTGCTGGTAACAGACCCAGTGTCTTCGCTCAGTAAACGGCTTAACATCTTGGGAGCCTGATGTTACTACCTGTTGACGACCATCTTGCGGCGGCAGCCTGCCTGATAGAGAATATGTGTCGTATTGAGTTGTTAGTAGTAGTAGTCCAAATTAATAGGGTTGGTGGGCTCATCTCAATTCTACTTAGTCCATTTGTCTACGGTTCTTCCCCTTGATAAGGAACTATCGTGTAGCAACGCGTGTAGTTTACCGCAGTATCCCATGAGAGCCACTTGGCCACCAATGTTAATGGTTGAGAGTTTGGTATGAGACGAGTAGTGCAGTTGAGCTAGTCTGAGTAGGGATAGTCATCTTAGTCGTTGAGACATTGTTCATAGTATATTTAATTCCGTAAAGATAAGATTTGGGGTAGCTATCAGCATTACTGTAACAGCGGCGGCCAACAAGCAGTATTTAACGACGTTATGCATCATCATCACTTGTGATGATGATCTCGCTACGCCTATAAGTGTCCTATCATCTTTGATGAGGACTCTCTAGCTTGTGATGGTGGTAGTCCATTGTAATACAGCAGTAGCAGCACTCACTCTAGTTATTCTATTCTCCTATCATGCCATCTCGTGGTGCTTCCCTCATGGCATTTAATAACTCCAATGGAGTTAAGGTGCTTGCCAGTGGTGACTCGGATGATGACGACTGGGTTACTGAGGAGGAGGAGGAGTTGGAAAAAGGTAACAGGAGGACAGCAAGGTCCAAAGGTATGAGTAGTCGTAGGAAGAGGGTTAAAGGTGAGCTGATTATGGTGATGCCTAGGGATAATTGGTCGTATATCAGATAGTAGAAGGAAACAGCAAGATGGTGATGGTGATGCCCAGAAGGAAGCTGAGATGTTCATTCACCTCATGTCTGCTATGCTTGAAGCTCAGCAGGATAGGCAGCAACAGCAGTCTAAGAGAATGGTATCTACCTACTACTACTAGCTCTCTATACTCAGATCATCGATGCAGGGACGAGTATCTGAGGTGGGTGGTGGTGGTGGCTCATCGACAACCTCCAATAACATGAGATCTTCTACTGATGATTACCCTACTTGGGATGACTCTTTTATGATGGATGATCCTTTTGATGATGACTATGATCCATTCGAGGATGAAATACTATTCGATGATGATAGTGACGAGAAGGAGGAAGAGGAAGGGAGATCTCCCAGGTGCAGCAACAACAACAACGCAGAGTCCCTTTAGTCTAGCTTGTTAGGGACTTGGTGCATTGGCCTACAATGTGGCGACTACTTGCTGGAGGCATTTCCTTTCATGGTCATTCTAATGACATAACTAAGGCTATGGAAGGGCTCCTTATCAGAGGGGAGTTGGCGATGCAGACGTGAGTAGTACGTACCACCTCTCCCACGATACCACCAACCTAGCAGATATAACTACTCTCTGTCCCTGGCATGCGCAGCAGCAGTGCAGTATCTAACTGCTGCTGCAGCAGCAACAAGTGTAGCTCCGGAATCCTACTTGATACGAGCTAACGCTATTGAAATGATTTCAGTGTAGTTATATTCGAGTTCAGCGGACTATGGTCGTTATATGTCGTGGTAGGTATCAGCTTGGATCAAGAGCAGCAGCGGTGAATATCAGGGATCAGCTCTTGGAGGGGTTTGTATTGCTAGTAGCTACATTGATCATTGTTAGCATTCATAGGTTCCCTGGTGATAGTATCAAAGAAGCTGGTATGATGTCGGACTATCTCTTTAAACGATTCACTGGTAAATCGGGAACATCATCCAGTTCGGAACTCTTCTTCCACCTCTGGAACAGAGTGATGGCATTAGGTACATGTGAGGTCCTTGATATGATGCCACAATTGCTAGGGCTACTCAAACAAGCTAGAGATGAAAAGAAGACGAAGGGTGCAAGAAGTGGTCAGCGTGATGATAGAGTCATCACCGAGGTAGAGTAATTAGCATTGCCTGGATAGGGCTATAGCGGTGCCTGCTAATGATGATAATGATGATTCGTGTTTCAGTGAATGAGTTTCTGATTTCCAGTTCTTTGTTTAGTTTCGGTATTGATATCATCCATAGTGGTAGTAGGGTTCATGATGTCCGTGTTGACTAGTATGATGAATATGATGAGTCGCTCGCTCAGTTTAGGAGCATTTCTTCGTCTTGCTCTGGTACCGTTACAGCTGGGAGTGGTCCTCATGGCCTCTCTAGCATTGGCCCTTCTTGTTAGGATTCTACCAAGACCTCAGGTATTCGTAGTTGATACGATCACACAAAGGATCATTGTAACTCAGGAGCACCGCAATGAAGGATCGACGACTATCGCATATTTCTTCCATCCTGATTGTGCCTCCGGTGGTGGGGGAGAGAGAGTCCTATGGGCAGCTATTCTCGGTCTTCTTAGAGCTAATAAAGAAGGGACTATAGTGATATATACAGATGAGAAAAGCAGTGTCAATAGGGTGAGTACTACAGGAGGACATGCGCCATATCAATGCTCGTTGTTTCTGCATGGAAAGATTCGCTCAAGGGGTAACTCGAAATCAACCTGATTTGCATCCTGATGCGAATAAATGCTAGTCTCAAGGATGGAATTATACGTTATCCGGAAATGTACGCATGGTGGCAGGTACTCCGTGGTGTGTCCGATCGTTTCGGCATCCGGTTACCCTCTGGATCATCGAAGCGTATCAGATTTGTCCACGTGCGATTCACTCGACTACTTCGCGTGGAGCCATGGCCTACCCTTACAGTCATTGGTAATAGTAAGATCCCAGTACGAACCTGCATTATTGTATGTCGGTTCATCAGTAACATCAGCTTAGACTCCCCTCTCTTTAGGTCAGTCATTGGGTGCTGCTTTGGTCGCAATGACAGGTTTTGTCAACGAGAAACCGAAGCGCATATTCGTGGATACCGTTGGCCAGGTATACCATCATACTCAGCTATCTACACAAGCCATTCTAAATCTCAGGCCTTCATATTCCCTTTTGTCCGGCTCGCATGTGGTTCAGATGTCCGGATTGCCGCTTATGTTCATTATCCCACGATGAGCTATGACATGCTTGCCCGAGTCACTAGCGGAACTGCAATGTAATACATTGGATGTCCATCTTGTAGCAAGGGTCAGTCTCCAGGTACAATAACTCCTCCGCTGTGGCGTCATCGCCTCTTCTAACAAAACTGAAGTCCTTCTATTATCGGGCATTCCTCAAGGTTTATGGATTCGCCGGCCGTTTCGCTGATGTTGTGCTCACCAACTCGACATGGACTGGTAACACTTTGGTAAACACCATCGATCCATCCTTGGCATCCATCAGATTCTCGCATAAAAGCAATCTGGCAAGTGCCAACGACTGTTATATACCCTCCAGCTGACCTTAGACGAGGTAGCGGAGAGGGCCCTAGACGTGGGTCGGATCTGAGACCCAACCTAGTCGTATCCTTGAGCCAGTTCAGACGGGAAAAGAACCAATCACTTCAACTGGAAACATTTGCAAAGGTCAGGGGCATCCATTCATACCATTGGACCTATTATAGTAGGTATTGGCACGAGTTCCTTCGGCTAGAATGACTATGATGGGTGCTGTACGACCAAATGTTATTGATGACCAGATTTTGTTGCAAGAGTTGAAAAGCAAGGCTGTGAAGTAACGTGTCCTCCTCACTAATTCACCTTTGATAGTTCGATGTATCAGACTCGGCATCGAGGATAATGTAGCATTCAAGCTTAATGCTCCGTGGCCAGAGGTCCTCGCCGAACTGAACCGAGCACGAGTAGGGCTGCTGTGTAAATAACTCAGTTAACTCTCCTTTTGGAAGGTTGCGATACATACGATGAAGGATGAGCATTTCGGGATTGCTCTGCTCGAGTTCATGTCAGCTGGATGTGTCGTGGTGGCGAACAATTCGGGAGGCCCGAGAGATGACATTATTGGAACGGGCACTGATGCTGTTGGCTTCCTGTCTGACGATTCTGTGAGTGCACACCGAGAGATGTCGCGATTTATCCATCATGTTCAGGAGGACTATGCAGCTTCTATTGTGGAGGTCTTGACTGGATGGTCCAGTCAGAAAATAACGTCCCTGAGAGACAAGGCTGCGAAGAAGCTAGATTCATTCAATAATGATGCTGAGTTTGGTGATGTTTTTGCATCCAAGTTGAGCGGGATTATGAACTGAAGTTTTTAGGAGGATGATTTCTGTTGTGTTCTAAAGTCCTTGATCTAATCGACGCCCACTCATTGTAACGATATCCATGAAAACCTTCGAACACCAATTCCTTTCGACCTGCTTCAGCTGCCAGCAGCTGCAGCGTCTCTGGCACCAGGGGGAGAATTGTTTGCGCCCCACACATGTGTTGCTATCGATCGGATGTCGAAGCAGGATCCCACTCAAATGCGGCGTAGATTATTGAGATTTCCACGTATATACCGCCAATCTCAATCCTTCCTATTCTCAAATCCAAAACTCGCTCCTACACCTAACGCCACTCACATGCGTGAAGTAAACTTAAGCCGCTATATAACACAACACACATTTATACCTTTGACCACAAGGGTTACATCATCTGAGTAAATACTGTACGGCACGTCGCAGATTCAATTTCAGATACATGTTAACCGCTCAGCAATACCCACACCCCAGTCCCATAGGGGATGGATCATCGAAGTCGAGTACATGACTGTACTGACTACACCTCCATTAGGGTGGGGTATACATCTCCTCATCACGGTTTAGGGTTTTGTCAAGAGTACTCTTGTGAACGAAAGGAAATCACTACATAAGTGATCCTGTTCGAGTACAGTCGACATACTCTCTTATCATGGAGAACCCTTGCGTCCATCTGATCTGTAGAGAGTGCGGTATCACACGATATCACAATTCTTGCTGTCCCTCTTGGCTTAACCTACAACAACATTAAAGAGCTCAGAACCACAGGTATCGGCTCATGATTGCGTCTCGTTCGATCAAACGCTCACGAGTCGCGATTACGGGAAAGATCGCGTACAACAGTGTCAATGGCGCTCAAGCGAACCGGAGATCCATTGCTGCATGTGATTCTATCTCCTTTTACACAGGTATATCCATGATCCCCAATCTCTCGCCACCTTGTTCCGCGCTCAGAGCTTCGACACATGGAATACCCTCGAGTCTAGTCAATGTGTCTTATTCATATTATTGGATCAAAGAATGACAGCGACTGTCATGCACGGACCCACATTTTGGTCGCGTACGGCACGCGACCTTTAGTCCCAGTAGTATCATCAATATAAGGGGTACGCGGCGTACCTCTTATATTGTTGATACTAGTGGATACTATGTGTACAAAGCCGTTCAGAACTCTAGCAGGTTTGTTCTCCCTCAGTGGTTGAAGATAGTCAAAGTTGGTTCAAAATTTCTCGAGACAGAGAGAAACTGCTTCCCATTGATTCTATCAAGTGTGGTAGCTAGGGAGTCATTCCCACACTCAATCTGACCTTTCAATCTCATCCTCAATCTGTGCATTGGACCTATATCTCGAGTTCGAAACTTAGTGCAGATTAAAGCTTCAAAACCTTCATATTCACACATAGGTATGTCCAAACATTCCTTACATTCTCTCCCCCCAAAGCTTCGTGCTAAACTGTCTATATACTCAAGAACGCAACAGCAATTCAATTCCACATAGGTCTGACAGTCTACCAATCATGCGTTCGCTAAATAGCTGAAGAAACGCAGAAGGTACGTCATACTTTCTAGTATACAACTGAGAGGGGAGCTTTTCGAGCGTCCAGCACTATCCGACAATGCATATAATCAGGTACAACACTGCTACGATGAGTAGACACTCGTTCACACGCATCGTCTCGGTCAGAATAAATACCAATTATAACACCAAAGCGGACCAGTAGCCTGAAGGAGAGTACAGCGAGTAATACGGCGAATATTCTACTTCGCTCGAACGCCATGTATTGAGCTCAACGTTAGGCACTCTGGAAGGGGTAGACAGGACCACCGGTGTACTCCACAGCCTGGTGCCATGGTACCTGGGATTAATACAACCCGCCACAGTCGACCTGTTCACTCTTACCCTCTGATGTCTAGTCCTACCATCATGTAGTAAATGGACGTCAAACCCTCGAGGAGTCTTACTTATACTGGCTAGGTCAGAATCAGGTGCTAAACAGAAGATCATGCACAGTATAAACAACTTGCCGATACGTACATTCCACATCAGCTATCTCATCCAAGTTGGCAAGGGTTTGACGAATCTCATCCCTCAACATATAAATGTTCGGCTGAGTCATGAAACGTACTGCTTTACCTGATAATGACCTCAAAGATTACACGGGCTCGTATATAGATAGAACCTACATGTACACTTTGGGAAGATGTCGCGGAGTTCCATGACGGCAGTTCGCTCAGCGAATCCATCCCCTATAGATACAATACCTGTACCGTACGAATGATCTTTATGTAATATAGCAAGAAACTCACAGTCAAAGTCCGTATTATAAGCACACGCCATCTCTTGGAATTTGATAGTCTTCCACGAGCTGGCCATACAAGTAGCTTTCTGGGCTGATAGCTGCCAAGAACCAAATAAAGCAAAAATCAGGAAGTACCTCAACATACGTTATCAGGCAGCTGTGGCCTTGCAGATACACATGGAATCGCTTCTAGAACAGGTATGAGACGTGGCAGGTAGTGCTTGGCCGTAAATGGTATCCAATTTGCTGATGAATTGGTAACAATGGCTGTAGAACCTGAAGAAGCTCACATGATCACTGCAGGGCCAATAGGAAACCTCACCCAAGTCACAGCATTTCTGGAGCAGATCAAGAGCGTAATCTTCGATGACAGATAGATCTCTGCGGACCGAACTTGGCAACTTAACACCTGTCATACATCAAATACCAAGACGGCATAATTGCTGATTTGCTACTTCCCCCTTGTCTAGCGACAATTTGCTCCATTTGAGCGATAGAGTTGGTCAAGTACTTACATCCACCTGGAACAGACACGTGCGGACTCCTCATTCAAGCTTCAGTTATAGTACGAAGCCAAGTCGTAGGGAGGATAGTATCATCCCAGTCAATGAAGAAGAGCAGCTGTCGGCCGCGACCTGCACGGAAGTACAAGATAGAGGCAGGGTAAAGACTGCTCACCAGCGCTGATGTCACCTGCAGAGATCCTCGGGGAGAGCTGTGGACCTGGCAAAGAGACCAGTAGACCTCACAAGGGTCGCAACGGAACCTCACTCGAACTGCTCCGGAGCATCGAAGAAAAGTGAGAGGCGATCTCAGTGTCATCGTTAGCATCCGGACCGAGTATCTGCTAGAAAGGTGGTCACAGTTACGAATGAGGAACAGATTGATGTACCTTTACTCCTGTTATGTATGCCTCGGGAAGATAATCAGAGGGCGAAATAGGTACACGGTTAGTTGAGGTTGGACCTTGTTCAGGAGTAGAAGCAGCAGTATTACTGCCGGACTTCTTAGAAGAAGCAGTTACTGAAATACTCAATGGGCCAAACATAGCTACTAGAAAAGGTTGGAGTAAGATACTGATGCGAAGTGTGTGCAACAACCTACAAGACGAATCCGTTTCAAGATGCGCATGTAAAAAGCGCTCGCCCGTGTAGACGGAGCGCGCCACGGAGTCTTCGGGGGGTGGGTTGCACAGGTGATGTTACTGTTGACTGGCATCAAGGGTACTGCAAGCGTTGGCTTAACAGTGTGAGGTGGAGACCTGGAGATGGGTAAGTAGTGTTCAAGGGTGTGTTATGTCCTTTTACCCTTGTACTCAACAACGTAATCCTGATCTCCTCAATTTAGCTCTTGTTCAGGATCGGACAACGACGTAGATGACCCCTATGCGGTTCCTTGAATTGTATAACACACGGGTCTAGCACATAATGCTCATTATAGATAACTCGAAGCTATGTTATACGCTATCATCGGTGTTATGGATAGTAAGATCTTCTAATACGCGTATCACATGATAGTATAACTCGACACTTGGACAGCAACATCCTGTCTGCAGGTAATATCCATATCTACTAGTATATCTTTCATTCATCTATCTCAGATCACTAGAGGGTAATACTCTACAGTCTGGGGTTCACAACGAGTGATGTGATGATCACTCTCCGAGAGTTGTAGACCTTAGTGAGGTATAGGGGCTGCCACCCTACAAGTATCATCTAGTACGACGCTGTCCTTAGCCGAATCAACTCAATGCTTAATGGTTAGCCGAGCTCAAGGGTTGTTGAAACAGTCACATTCACTACCTTGCGGCGTATCACTGGTGAGGTTATTACTCTTCGTGTGATAGGCCCCCTACCGAGGATCCTCATCTCTATTCGGGATATGACCTTTATTAGTGTCTGCCACATTCTTACCCTTCCTAATCACGACTTAATATCGATGATAACACGGATCATCATCATCCTTTCCTGCTTTCATAAGTCCTTAACTGCGGTGGCCAGCTTGAGGTATTCGTCTCTAACGTTTCCGTATCGAGTATAGTCATCATCCTCATGAGTCTTTGTGCTCTTTAGTATTCTATTATTACTTGAGTTGTTGTCGTGGTTGTTGTTGTTTGCCGCAATCCAGGCAGACATAGGTTTGTGATGGTGGTGGCTGATGTATTCCCTCATGATCCACAGTTGTTCGATCTGATTTCTCTCATTTCTGGTAACAACATACGAATATGATGAACTCCCTTCCTACACCGATGCCTGTGGATTTATCTGATATGGATAAGTTACGGAGTAAAGAAGAATCCAGTAGTGAAGCCACCACCACCACCCAGGAAGTTGTTCCTAAGGTGGGTCTTAAAGCGCGGCTTACGAGTCTGTACTGATCGTGATGATTAGGAGTGTTCCAATTGTGGTAAGATTCCCGGGAATCCTTTACGGTGCGGTATCTGTAAGAAAGTGGTATACTGCGATCGGAATTGTCAAAAGGAGGACTGGCGATTCCATAAACGTATATGTAAGAAGCCTAAAGCCAAGAAGGAGGAGGAGGACGAGAAGAAGTCAAGACATGAACAAGCTGCTGAGAGAGCTGCTGCTGCCAAACGTAGGGGGTTCTTAGGGAGTATTCATAGTGATGTGTGTGTAGGGGCTGCTGAACCATTCCGATCAAAGAAGGATGATGATGTGGTAGTAGAGGATGAGAAGCTCAATTGGTAATAGAGATCACCACCACCCTAGTATTATGAGTACAGTAGTGTTATCATGTTGTCAGGTATCGTCATCGGGAATGGATACCAGAGAAGAAAGAAGAGTTTAAACCACATGAGATAGTACCCCAACAGGAAGCTAGTAGTCCAGAGAGGATACAAGTAACCGAGTCTGGTGATGGTGGTCATGCTGGCAAGAGTGTTTGGAACACAGCTGATACGTAAGAAGGATGATGATGACAATTGGTGTCTATGGTAAGTTTAGGTACGAAGAACGGAATACTACCGAATGGGCTAATGATTGGCTTAAACAGAATATCCCTGGTAACGGTCGGGGTATTTGTTAATAGGAGGTGTCTATGTTCATACAGGCTCTACCTTTGATACTGCCGAGGACCTCTCCCTTGTCGTTGATTCGATCGATAACTTGGAGGGGGATGCCGCCATTCCAATTGTTAGAGGTACGGGAGTATCGTGATGTCATTATGATGTGATAGGATACTGTCTTCAGGAACAGCACGGTATGTATATGATTACAAGTTCAAGTTGAGTACTAATGTTACATTCAAGGGTGAGTCCTTAGTAGTATACTACTATTATCATCCTTGAGTAGGTATTCAACTGAATGCTGATGTGAAGGTTGGTGACTTCGCCAACGATATGGAGCCCTACACCTTCCATGTGAATGTTAAAGATCCCAAGGAGAGTGTCGATAGAGATACCATTACCGCTGCTCGATCAATCATAATTAAGTCCATCGTCCCCCAGTTGAACTCCAAATTGGATCAATTCGTGACCGAGTACCATACTCTCTAAGCCTTATAGCTGACAACAAAATACTCGTGTATAACAAAGATTTAGAACAATAGCCACTGTCGTGTACAGAGAACTATTAGATACCACACCTTGTCTCTATCACGGCTTATTATTGTGTTATTACTACCTTCAGGGGGGTTGGGTGGATACCTGTAACTTGAACTAATCACTTCTTAATACAATACAGTCTGTGCACCATGTTGAGTGTCGGATAAGTACTCACAAGATAGTAACTATGATATTAGATAATAAGGAACTACCTCTATCACGGAACTCAGTGATATATATCATCCATCCTGTGTACTATATGGAGTGATTTCGGTACAGGTCTCTACATGGTATATGTGCATCTCGAAGGGTGATGGAATATTGTATTTGTACTAGAATGTTGGTAGAGAGGATGAATATACAGAGTCCTTACCATCCGACTTGGAGGACAGGTATCATGGTGAGCATGATGACTCTGAGCAGGAGTGGATGCCTCCAGTCTTTCCAACATCATGAACACCCTTGTGATATGTCAACTGTCTTGTTATTATTCATATTCTAATCCACAGGGAATGGATGCCAGACCATGTGAATATAGCCCGATATTACATCATGCCGAATATGGAGTACACAATACGTTATACAATGTATTGGAAACATACATCAGGATATGAATAAATTAATGATACCTAGATCTATTGTTCAATCTAGTAGGATGATGTTCGTTGTTGCTATCATCATGAGTATGACGATGATGATGATCAGCGACTGCTGAGACCTTTACGGCTACAAGAGATGATGTTCTACCTACAATGATGATGATGATGATCTATTACTACCATACACACCTTTAGTAGTAATGATATATTACCCGATGTCTCATCTGGTATACTCCATCGTGCCGATAGAGCATGTGAAGTGGCATGTATCCATAAGCTGGTACGGAGATGCTTCTTCATACCTAACGTCATGATGATGTCGGTATATCGATGTCATCATCCTCTTACATGGTGAACGTAATAAGCAGAGTAGGCCAGGTAATGGTAGTGTTGTTGATACTGAGTCCCGCCAGGTTGGATTGGCTATAGCTATATTATCCACCACACCAGGACGATAAGGTAGTCTAACCTGTCTTATCAACCACATATAGCTATAGTGGGTATGATACTAACCCACCTCAACCACTGCTGCATCAGCAGCTGCACAATCGATAGCTTTAATCTCTAATGCTGGGATATTGGTATCAGAGGGTGACGTTATGGATACATTAGCCTCGACTGATGATGATGATGATGCTGCACCTTGGGCTATATCACTTTTGCTTCCTATAAGAATCGATGATAGGAATATGGATGATGAGTTACCAACCTAGATAGGGGCTAAGAGTAAGCTCCT